AAACATCAAACTAGGCATAGGCACGACAAACGGGGTCCGCTGGGACACCACGGGGATCGGGGAAACATCAAACGGGGAAGCCGAGGTCCCGGGTGGGGTGAGATTCCAGCGGGTAGCCGGTGGGTGGGGGTCCACCCGCCGGCTGTCACTGTTCCGGGCAGCGGGTGCCCGGCGGGCAGCTGCCCGCCTGCCGGCTGCCCGCTGCCGAAGTTACCCGAGTTTGCCGCGGGTAGGTGGCGGGTCCCCTACCCCCCACTGACTCTTTCCATCACTTTTCGCCCCGGGAACCGTTGTGGAACCCGAAACCATGCTTAGACACTTTTCAACGTAACTAACGACAACACATAGACGATTAACGGATCAAATACGATAGACGAACGACACATAACCTATCATGCTTTTCTAATCATAATCAACGCCCAAACATGCGATTTCCCACCCGATAAACCAAGAATCAAAGCATACGGTGCAACCTAGGGTTCTAATCACTTTTATATCAAACAAGAATACGATTCATCTTCTAATTGCAAGATTCGGTAGGAACAACACATAATCATCAAGGATAGCAATTAATCATCAAGAACATCATAATCATCAAGAACAACACATCATCATCAAGAATCCCAATTAATCATCAAGAACATCCCAATTATCAAGAAACTCCCAATATCAAGATTATCAAGATTATCAAGATTCCCCATGGGATCATTAAATCGACATCAATAATAATTATAGGAATTCGCCATTCACAATCATACGGGGGAAACCCTAAGGGGAAATCATAGCTATGAAAATAGGTTTTGTTGAGACATGGGTTACCTCTTAGCCTTAATTAATCCCTTGGCTATGAAGGATCTTTCTTTAAGCTTCCTTGCTTTCTTGATTTCTCCTAAGGGGATTCTTGGAGCTCTTTCTGGGGTGGTGGGGCGTTAATCTTGTGGGGGGATTCTAGGTGCCTCTTAAGTCCTCTATTTATACATTTAGGAGTCCCAATAAGGAACTAATATTATAGGCTCGCTAATTCTATTCCTTTTGGAACTAAGGATTGGGTTTAGGGGTTGGGGTTTATACATGAGGGCCCATGGACTATGGTGGGCCTTTTTCCCTAATTAATTATAATTTATTCTTTCTCTTGGGTTACTGATTAATTGATTAAATGGTTTTAGGGGCCGTAACACGGGGTGTTACATCACCCCATACGGAAGTAGTTGCCCCATTCCCTATCCTGCGTCTGACCTTACGTCGGATCAAGCCATGAGACGCCATAATACTCCTCCACCAGAAACTCGGGCAACTACCCAAGGTAGCATCTAAAAAATCTGTCTTTGGGAAATACCTGGCCTTATAAACACGAGTAGCCAGGGACTTAGGATTAGTGAGAAACCTCCATCCCTGCTTACCCAACATTGCAATGTTAAACGCCCTCAAATCCTTAAACCCCAGACCACCAAACTTCCTCAGGACACATAACTATCCCAAGCCAACCAATGAATTCCTCCACCATTCCTGCCATTGCCCCACCAAAACCTATTCATAACACGTTCCAGGTTTTTATATAATGAGTCAGGCAATAAAAAGACCCCATTGTAAACGTAGGCATAGCCTGGGCCACAGATTTCAACAAAACCTCCTTACCTGCTCGGGTAAGCAATTTCTTATTCCACGACCCGATTCTCTGTTTGATTTTAGCATCTATATAGGAAAAGACAGCACGCGTATTTCTGCCAACAAAGGCGGGCAACCCCAAATACTTCCCAAAATTTGAAGCATGCTGCACCCCAAACACCCCCGCCACTGAATCCCTGTCAGACTGTAAGGTGTTCCTGCTAAAACAAATATTAGATTTATGAAAATTAATAGTCTGACCAGAGAGCTCCTCATAGGATCTTAGACACCGTTTTACCACTTCTGCCTCCTGTACATTAGCGTTGAAAAACAGTAGGCTATCATCCGCAAAAAAATAAAAAAAAATAAAATAAAAATAAAAAAATAAAAAAAATAAAAAAATAAAAGATGAGAGAGAGCTGGAGCCCCCCTCGCCACCCTAATTCCGTGAATTTCACGCCAATCCTGAGTCTGCTGCAACAACAAAGACAATCCCTCCGCACAAATAATAAACAAATGCGGAGACAAAGGATCCCCTTGACGGAGACCCCGCGACGGGATTAACTGACCACCACTCGCCCCATTAATCATAACATTATAGGACACCATTGTTACACACTCCATAATCAAATTTACCCAGCTCCCCTCAAACCCCAAGGCCAAAAGCATCTTCCTTAGGAAAGACCATTCCATTTTATCATAGGCCTTTGTCATATCAAGCTTCAAAGCCCCCCAACCTACCTACCCCACTTGCTTCCTATTCAAAAAATTTCCCACCTCTGCCGCCACAAGTATATTATCTGTAATGAGTCTACCCGAGATAAAGGCGTTCTGTGACTCAGAAATTACCTCCCCCAAAAACGGCTTCATACGATTAGCAATCAATGGCCTAATTATATTATTGTGTACAATTGACCAATTTAACCCTTGTTCCTATATATATATATATATATATATATATATATATATATATATATATAAATGGCTTGGCCACAGGCAAACCCACGGGTTGTGGGTCAAACCCGTTAGGCCTGCATTTTTACGGTCTATAACTTTCAGGACACTAAACCCGCCCTCACTGTTCGTAAATTGCCAAATTTTGACTCTTTGCTATTTCTGGAGAAATGGTATGGCACAAAGTCTCTACAAAGTTTCCAATTAGCAAGAACCTTTTAATAGATATTATGGTTTTTATTTTATATATGTAATTATATAATAACGGATTAAAATTAAGTTAGTAGACATTGCGAGTAATTAGCGGAGGACAATGTAGTGAGGAGTTAATTACCAAAATAGTCCATGGATTATAGCAAAAGACTTATTTTCTTGACCAGTTTAGTTATCACCTATTCAATTTTTGACTCATATGGTCCTCCGTTAATTTAAATGTTAACTGTAAATTCATAATTTTCGAAACTCTATGTTCACAATTTTAGAGCTCTATGTTCATAATTTTATCACTATATGTTCATATTGTAAGTTCATAATGTCAGAGCTCTGTGTTCATAATTCCATAACTGTACATTCATAATTCCATAACTGTACATTCATAATTTTCGAAACTCTATGTTCACAATTTTAGAGCTCTATGTTCATAATTTTATCACTATATGTTCATAATTGTAAATTCATAATGTCAGAGCTCTGTGTTCATAATTTCATAACTTATATTTATAATTTCATAACTGTACATTCATAATTCCATAACTGTAGATTCATAATGCAACAAACGAATAACGCCGTTAACAGCGAGACAAAATCAGATTTAAAAAAAAAAAACTAGAATGCCGCTTTTTTTTTTAATGAAAACGACGTCGTTTTGGACTCGTGTTCACAATGTATTGTAACTTTATATTAAAGTCAGGGCCCTTATTTTTTACTTTGTCCCTGACCTATAAAATGATAAAACCAACCTTGGTGCCCAGCTTCACCACCCTCTATCTCTCTCCCTCCGTAGTCCGTACTGCCTGTTTTCGTAGTGCCCAGCATGTAGTAACTTTAATATGCATAAACTCCCTCTCTCTCGGTGAAAAATAGAACAAGTAGTCTCTCATCTTCCGTTCTGAAACTCCCAAAAAAAAATGAATTCGATAAAACACAGTTTTAATAAAAAGAAAAAGGAATAATCAGGAGAACTATGTGAGAATCTATCATCGGTCTCCATCTTCTCCGATGGCCGTCGGCAATGATCAAAGTTGAGCTGTAGTGTTGGTCTCCGAGTTCGAAAACCTATTGTTCGGGTAGCTTCTGGAAACTAGCATTGACGCGATCTCCCGGGGCAAGCGAGAAGAGAAACTAGGATGACGTTTGCCCTGATGTGGTAGAGAAATTACCTGGTGACAATTCACTATCAAAACTCAAACTGTTATACACACAAGCCAAAGAGCTTTCTGAGAGTTCATTTGCTAGGTCAACTGGATGCATTAATCCCGTCTGGACCACCAGGGCAACAACGGAGAAGATTCAATTCCAAGGTAATGAGCCGAAAAAGAAAAGAATGAAGGCTGATTCTAATGTCACAAGGCTTTCTCCTAACATGATAAATCAGCAGGCCGGAGTTCTTTGCTAACTTGAAGGGTGGTGAACAAGTGGCTCATACCTTTCCCCAAGAGGAATGAGCCCTCTAATACTCCAGATTTGCCTCCTGCACTGGAAGGCAAGTTTTGACAGTTTACGCAGGAACAGTAGTCCAATCTCGTAAGAGGAAGACCCACGATTACATTTTAGAGTTTGACGATGATATGATGAGGAAGATGGATCTCTACCTCGGCAATCAGTCCCCTTCCACAGGGTACGTAGTCGCCCTTCCAAACGGACATATATCGCCAGTAACTTAGACACTACTTTTGGTTGTCCACAAGACCAAGAATCTGTAACTAGAGTACTAGAATTGCTTCTTTTGTGTATCTATGGAGTATTTGTCAGTATCACCCTCGACAACATAGTAACCTGTCTGCATCTAGCCTTTAATCAACTATCCTGGCATTGTTCAGGGTTCTTTTTCCGCCACCGGGGGCGGTGGCGAGAGAAGCATTGGTGGGAGTAGCAGCGGGTTGTCGAAGGGGATGAAGATGTGGGAGGAGAGTAAGCAAGACGCGGGAATGGATGAATCGAAGCTCTCTCTCTCTTCTCCATCAGTTCCGAGTAAAAAGAAAAGAGAGAAGAATCCAACGTAAGAAGAAGTTTGTTATAGAATTGGTGGAAAAGATTATTATGTCCTCACAATAGAGGGTGACTTAACTCCCAAATAGACGGAAGACCATATCGGTCAAAAATTGAATAGTTGATGACTGAATCAGTCAAGAAAATAAGTCGAGGACCAAGTCGGTACTTTCGCTATAGTCGAGGGATCATTTTAGTAATTAACTCCAATGTAGTGTACTGAAAGGGGAAGCTAGGAAGTCCATATAGGTATTCTTTGAATAAAATAAGGAACTTCATACATGAGATGGTACTAATCCAACCTAATTTCAAACTGCCAAACTGAAAACTTTAACCACATAATAATTATGTCACAAGTTCAGAATATGATTTGTGCTTTTCTTGAAGCTCGAGGGAATACCACTAACTCTTTCAAAATATTAGAGACCTCCGATGCCTCTACTACTTTCTTGTCCTCAAAACTAACCCTTTTTAAGGCCGGGCAGCACGCGAGTATTAGCTTTACAAAAAGCATTTCAGCTCTTGACCCCTGGAAATATTTGATCTTCAAAGCCCGCAAACTGTTAATCTCTTCGCTCATGCAGCTACGTTCTTGCAAATACTGTAAAACGAGGTTGTTGTCAGCAGCCTCTGTAGGAACCTATACATACAACAAAACTGAAATAAGTTCAAAACACAACAGTGAGAGTAGGGTAGAAATAAATAAATAAATATAAGTAGACCATAAGTTTCTCACGTCCATCATAATTTCAAGGCTATGCACCCTAAGAGAGCTGTGAAGCAAGCAAAGGCTGCTGGAGACTTGTACCAGATCGGTAAAGTTAATTTGAAATAGTCTAAGATCCCTCAACTTGTTGATTTTAACTGGAAGTGCACTCATAATAGAGCCTGCAGCCAAAAGCTTACCAGCACAGAAAAATGATAATGCAACCTAAACACATTGTTTGGGAAATAAGAATCGAAAATCTTAAAAGAGATTGTACCTTGAGATGGTATCCATCCATATAAAGGGTTGAAATTAGAGGCCAGTGTTCAAACAAGCTTGCTAAATTGATCCTCTCACCAGGGCCAAAAGATTTAATTCCATTAGCCAATACAAGGCATGCATTTGTAATACTTTTGCAGTTCATAAAACAATTCAGTTTAACCTCGTGATTCTTGTAAAGTACCAAGGAGGAAAGTGATGATGAACAGCCATCAAAGTTCACGTGATCCATACCACTGCACATTTCTAAGATCAAACGTTTAAGCTTTGATGCAGCAAAGATAGAAGCAGAAACCTCCGGCTTGAAAGCAACTTGACTCAAATAAAGCACCTTAAGATTTTGAAAGCTTCTTATAGTACCACATGGTTGTTTGAAGATACACTTAGACAGATACAGATACGTAAGTTCTTGACACAAGAATACATAAGAGGGAAGTGCATAGAGATCACGACTGGAATTCTTCACTGTGAGTTCCCTCAATCCATTTCTTGACAAGTATAGTATCCATGGATCAATGTTTGGGTACTGTGACATGTGTACATCTGAAAGGTTGACATGAAAAGTTAGAATGGGCCCAATATGCTGTAAGAGAATTTTATTGCCTATTCCAACAAAATCATTTTTGGTGACAGTGACTATATTCTTGGAATCAAGTACAAGATTTGGATGACCAGCCCATATGTATCTCCATTTTCTAGACAAAACACTTGTTCTTGCTGCATCTCGAGCAGGCAAGCGATCTAGGATGCAATTTAAAACATCCGTTGGCAAGTTAAGAAGTTGATCATCCATAGCCCTCCGTTCGCTATTTCCTGAGATTTCCTGAGATATCCATTCCTAATAAAAGGAGAAACCAGCATTAGAAAATCCAATTGTAAAAGAACAGTTTACAATAGTTGTTTTAGTTTTCTTTTCATCACCCAAAAATTCCCTATCTATTGTGCCTATCTAATATCTATATCCTTCTATAATACTTAACCTTGAAAAGTTAACCATTTGATAATATCATAATATAATGACAGTGACATTTATATCTGCAAACTATCAAATCCAATGAATACTACTACATCAAAACCCATATTCACCATCACCATTCGAGCTCAAAGCAGATATATACAAAATGGAAAAAGAATAAAACAGAGTGAATTGAACTATATCACTAGCTTCTCCCTTCTACATGGTGGAAAATAACCAAATAAAAACTGGTTAATTAGGGCCAACCTCTCAGTCTCAGGGTTAGAGTATTTCTAAACATAGGGTTTTAAGGAAGATCAAATTGAAGCTGAAGTAAACAAAAAGCTGGAAATTTTTAGTAACAGCAAAGAAAATAAACACAAGAATAGCTTGTATTAACGCTACTAATGCAGGAAACACCTGAACGGAGACGGTCGGATCTTCGACGGAGCACAAGGCAGGTCCGATTCGACGGAATGTCTTCCACCCTGAATAATCCCTAAAAATCTTCGACGGAGCAAGGCACTGAGGCAGGTCGCTATTTTATATAATCCCTAAAAATGTCTTCCACCCCCTCCACGTGGTGTCGTGGGTAAAAATCAATTTTACGGTTTTTAACTGCATTTTGTTAATCAAGTGGTCCTTGGTAAATTTTATACGGAGTAGTATTTTTCTTTGAGTATTCCCTGCATTCTTTATGTATGATTTTTGAGTATTCGGGTATGGAGACGAAGCCGGTCGGAGACGAAAGGACAATTTCTGTTTTTGTTAATAATATTTTAATTAATTAATTATTAAAAATTATTTTAAAAATTAATTTTAAAATTGATAACTTGTTACATTAGGTAAACAAGTTATTTTGAATTAAATTGCATGTTTTTGTGTAGTTTAATGGCTCAATTGTATTTTTTTTTTTAATTTCAAGGGCCTAATTACAGTTTAGTGTGTAGTTCAGTGAACTATTTGACCCTTATTCCTTTTATTAAATATATAAATCAGTATGAATATTGATTGGGGAATGAGCTTGAGGTCCAAAGTCAATATGGGTTTGAGTAGAAGCGCAAAGATTAATTAGGTCAAGATGATGTTGGAGTCCATGGGTAATATTTGGGAGGCTTATGTAAGAAGGGAAAGGAGTTGGAGGTGCAAATTGAACTAAGGATCCTAATACATACCCCATCATCACCCATTAATTATCCTATTGAAACGTATTTATCTACCTCAACCTAACCCCAACTTATTACCCCACTAAATTACCCTATTTATTTCTAACCTCCTATTCATAACCCACTAAATGACCAATTTATTACCCTATTAATCCCTCACTAATTACCCAACGTCTACTACCCATCTGATTACTATAAAAAGAAGACAAAATAGTGAATTTGGGGGACCACATTATTCTTCTTCACCAGAGGACTCTTCTTCACCACTCTTTCAAGAAGACTCCATAACTCTTCCTCTTACTAGAAGATGCACTCTTCATCTTTACACCAGGAGGCTTCATTCCCTCACGCAAAGGTCACTCCCCCAACAAGAACACTTCATCTCTATGTACAAAAATAGATTCATTCCTACACAAACATGTACAAACTACCCTACAAAAATAGTGAATTTAGGCTTGGCACTGCCCAAAAAGTCCATGGTTTTCACTTTTCGGTTTTCACGTAAAAAGTATCGTGTCATATTCTTTCTATATCTATTTTTATATTCTACTTCTAGCAATACAAATTATCTATTTTTCTTTATATTTTCTCCGGTGAATCCACCAATCTTCCGGTTGTGTTGGACCTAGTGAGCTTCCCAAAAGTCCTAAAATCAACATGTGCGCGTATGTGGGGAACGATACAAGTAGTCCCGTGGTTCCTACTAATGTCCATTGCTCCGAAGAGAATCGGGCAATGAAGACTGCATGTTGATGTCTAAAATATTATCCATTATTATGTAGATTAGACGTGATGTTCATAATTAAAGTACTCAAAAGTTGTTGGCAAGAGAAGAGTCAATTCATCACACTGAGGGACTTGACCGAGAGGCCGGGTCAAGAAGTCGGCTGTAAAAATACGGTCGGCAAAGAGGTAAATGGGCAAGTGGCGCTGAATAGGCAGCCCCCCACCCCAGCTACAAAGTTAAAGTGACGTATGAGTGGGCGAGGAACACTGAGTAAGTAGTTTGCCCACCCGACTTTAACGATGGACACTACGACTTTAGCGGTGAACACTACGGTCACAATTCTTTGGCTCCCATGGTCAATGAGATACACAATGAAGAATAGTGAATCCCACGAGGTCTACATACATGAATCATCGCCCAATTGTTCCTACGATTGCCATATCATATCCGGGCATGTTAAGGGAGACACGCGACAAGCAAGAATTTTAACAAAAGTACATGGGGTTTTTTTACCTGGGAGCTTGCATGTGACGCTCATTCTTCCCCGAGGCTGCTGAGCTCAATAATGAAGTGGTATAATCTTCAGCCATCAAACAAAAATAAACTGGCACAAAATGAAGAATCAAGAACCCCTGTGAATATATACTCAGCGCCCGTGCAAGCAGCGTCGTAGAAGGAGAAACGGGAGAGCGGTTTAAGGACACGATGCCCAGGGACCCCTCTCCATACAGACCACCAGCAATCCACGCCATCCGCCTCTTCTAGACTCCCAAAGACTTCCTCTTCTCCATCCCTAAGAGGTCTAAGGACACGGTGCCCCAATCTCTAAGCAAGCAACGCTGACTGGTCGGCGATAACCAGGATGGTCGGAAGCTGGATGCCTTCCTGCATGGTCGTGAGGTTCCAGAGTTTGTTTATATAGTCGAGAGGCACAATAGTGGTCGGCGTTGACTTGCCGAGTAGAAGGAGCGATGGTCGAAGGATTTGATCGGATGGTTCGCAGAAGTGTGGTCTATCAAAAGCCATGGTTGGCGGCAACAATGCACTACTGGAAATTATGGAATTTCCAACCATCTGAAAGTGATCTTAAATCAAGTTGAAAGCAAAAGGTGGTCGGAAATAGCAACAAAGGTTTTCTCCGATACCAAAAGTGTCGGAAACAAGACTTTCAACTTGATTTAAGATGATTTTGGGTGGTCGGAAATTTCAGAATTTTCAGTAGTGATAGTGGCCGACTCCTGGTGGAATGCTATCAGCAGCCGACCTTGGTGTTCTCCTTATTTTATAATAAAGCATGCGTACATCCAGTTGCCTGGAAGAAATCAGGAAAAAGACATGATGTGAGTGAGGCGATCGGTAGCAAAATAGTGAATGGGATGAAGCTTTACAGCTTATCTTTCTGATGTGCAAACAGACCAAGGACATTGATCATGTTACTCTTGGATTGATCCTCAATGTGTCTGCTGCCCTTTCAGATATTGGATTGGGGAAACAGGTTCATGGATTCATGTATAGACATGAACTCCATTCCAATTTGTTTGTCGCCAATGCGCTTCTTGACATGTGTGGAAAATGTGGGTACTTGAGATGGACTAACCTTTATCAAGAATGGAGAATTAAGATTACATTTATCAAGAACTAACCTTGGCAGATAATATAAAAAAGAGTTAATGCCATTTTTGGTCCTAGACTTATTGGGAGTGGACAGTTTTCATCCTCCATAATAAAAATTGCCAATTTCTAACCACACTTATTGGTTGTTGGACACTTTTAGTCCTCCGCCAATGAAACCGTCAGTTGACCGTGAAATAGAAGGACAAAACTGTCTTTTTATGTGTTCTTCATTACTTTGTATTTCTCCATTTCAGTTTACAAATTAACACATTCAAATTGTGGTCCCCATTTCAAAACAACATGTGTGGTGTGTTCTAAACAACAACCCACACGAGGAATTTTGAAGAAGATGTCTGGTGTGATCAAGAACTTCAACTTAGATGCGGCGGAGGAAGTGGCAGTGGCGGCGGCGATGACGCAGCAGCTGTCGCCGGCGAAGAAGTCTAAAAAAGGCATAGGGTCGATTTTGGGGTCAGATTTCGATCACAGAGGCACTGAGGATGATTCTTCCAAGTTGCTTCCTCCCCTTATGTTCATCCTTTAGTCTCAAAACACTGAGGCACTTGAGGCATTACTCTAGCTAGAAAAAAAAAAAAACGTAAATTGCCATCTTTCTCCAACTGTGTTCTTTATGGATCTTCAGCTGCCTTTGCTCTGTGGTCTTCCTTTATTGGAGAAAGGAGCATCTCAAACTGCACACTGGATTGTTGGGAGATCAGGGAAGCATCTCTTCCTCACTGATAATGATGATGGAAAACCTCCTCTTCTTCTTAGGATGGCTTATGACTCAGATGATCTCAAGTTCATGTTAGTAATAATCTTTTCTTTCCACTTCTCATGTTAGTAACAATAAAGCAGTTGATTTCGAAGAGGAGGAGGAGGATCTCATCATTACTCCACTTCCACCGCCGGCGACGGGAGTTGCAGGTCTAATCCTGGCGGCGGCGCCACACGCCACCGCCGCCTTCGTCAACACCTACGACTACTTCTGGAGGAAGAAACCCACAGTTGCAAGCTTACAAAGAAGAACGCAATTTGCAATGGCTGAGCTTCGTGTGGGTTGTTGTTTATAAGTAAAAAATATTAGACTAATACAACAAAGAAGAAGAACACAAAAAGACAGTTTTGCCTTTCTATTTCACGGTCAAATGACAGCTTTATTGACGAAGGACTAAAAGTGTCCAACTACCAATAAGTGTGGTTACAAATTGACAATTTTTATTATGGAAGATGAAAATTGCCTACACCCCAATAAGTCTAGGACCAAAAATAATGAAGTAGAGAGGACTTTGATCATTGTGCTTTGATTGTTAATTTGAAAATCAAAATCTGGGGTTAATCATTCTTTAACAGATGTTGTATCTGAATTCTTTAGACACGACAAGATCCTCAAAATTGTAACAAAATCAAGTTTGCTCTTGTGTCTCTCGGGGAATGTTTTCCTTACCCAAGAACTCATTTGTAGGTATGCAAGAAAACGTAACTCTAAAGTGTTTGACCCTTATTTTATTGTTTAAAGCTTTGCAATTAGTTTGCTAATTGCACATATGTATTACGGTTATTCATAATAAATTTGAATTATTGAGAATTTTTTAAAAAAATTTAAAATATATATTTGACGTCATTCCTTCAGTACTCCGTAGCCCCTTCACCCTGACCTCTCGGTTAGGTTCGCATGGGTATTCTTAAAACAATAGTCCCTCACTCCTTACTCCTTTCTTCTCCTTTTTTAGTCTGTGAGTAAAAAATCTTATGTTTCTGGGATGAATAAGTATTTCGAAGTCTATCACTTATTTTTTATTTTTTATTTATTAAATTTTGTCATCAATGGCTCGGAGTTTGTTATGCCTCATTCGTCTCATATATAGGAGATGAAGCTTTGTCTCTTGTCTCTCCTCCTAGGGAAATAGAGCCCCGGCAAAGCTCCGTATCGCATGGTAAATGGAGCCAGTTTTTCTATATCCTTGGGGAGCGAGACTGAGCTTCGTATAGTACGTATCACGTATTCAAGAAGCTCTAGCTCCCATT